GATATTGTTTTCACAAGGTCAACAAATGCCTAATTTTGGCATAAGTCTAAAGTTTGAACGAAATACTCTTCTCTATATTTGGATTAATTAGAGTATTACTGTCTTTATTTTCAGCAGAAAATGCCACCTGCATCATTTAAAGTCAGTCACATGCTTGCGGCTCCAAGCTCTTTCAGTAGGGTGGGGGAAGGGTGAGGGAGGACACTTCAAGCAGACAGCCCTGAAGCAACAACTAGGAGATAGAACAGTGTTGTAAAATTCTGTCAGATTGAGTCATTGCTACCAAGTCTTGAAAGAGAACCATGGGGGTCATTTTGCATTTTCTTCAAGTGATTTTGAGATAGACAAACCAGTTCCATATGGTGGCAGGGAAAAAGCTCAGAGCCAAAACAAAATCTACTCAGATTGTCAGTTCAGAAGACCTTAAAGTTCAGCTATCTGAGAGTCTGTCTACCGTTTAAAAGGGTCCTAGGCCAAACTTCAATTTGTCATACATACAACTCCCACTGCCTTGAATAATGAAGGAGATTCTTCCCTCCCCCCCCCATGCAGTGAAAATATAAAAATATGAGAAATATGGCAGTCTTCTAAGTAGATAAAAGAGCAAGAAGCTGGATACATGGGATTGTGGTGCTCATTTTAAAGTGCATTGACTGAAGACATTTTCTTCAGTTATCCATATTAGTAGGTTTCTCCCTGTATACAGGTGGATGTCACTATTGAGCATCATTTTAGTATTTTTTTTCCCTGTTGGGAAAAATCAGAAATGAGAGTTACAATTGGATGAAACCTAGGTGTTTTTGAAGCCTGATCGTCAATGATAGAATTTTCTATTGTCTTACATTCACTAAAAATATGATTTTGCTTTCTAATTATTGAAATTTCTAGAAATGAAAGAAAATAGATAGCTATATTATCTTCAAGGATGGATAAGAACCATGACCCATTTCAATATATATATTTCATTTTCCTTTAACCTGCTAATTAAAAAACTCAAATGCCTGCTTTTTTACAGTCATTGATCAATTTTACATACTTTAAAAAGTGGGTTTAAAAAGATAAATAACACAGTTCTTTGCTGGGGCTACCTTTTTGGTCACATTTAATTATATACTTATGAGGTTTTTTGTTTGTTTAGTTTTTATATTTTTATTTTCAGTCTTTTTTTTTTTAATCATGTTCAACATTTTTGTCCCTGAACCTACTTTGCTTTGGTTTACTATTTTCTTTTATCTCCTAAAATATTATATACTTCAGCACTTCACATAAACTGTGTCTACACTGGCCCAGAACAGGATGTAAAATGGCTGGGATTCACATGGTATTATTTGAGGTGAAATATTCTCTCTGATGATTTACACTTCCAGTTGCCTTTCACCATAGTCAGATGAAAATCAAGTTTGTTCCTTGTGTATCTTGTCTTTTCTGTTGTGAGGTAAAATTCCATTTGGCATTAAAGAGCTAGTTAATCAAACATAAATACTTTAGAAATTAGCCAGAACCACTTTTAAAAAAACTACCTAAATATATGTTTGAGCCTTGATTCAAATAACTCTTCTGTTCTTTTATCTAATTACAAAAAATGTTTGACACTAATGAATGACCACTTCTTCGTTTGCCTGTGTCAAACAACCAACCACAGTTTTTGGCTTTGGATCAGTATTTGCATTTCTGTTCTAGCTCAATAGCTGCTATGGAAAATGACCCTCTTGACTGCGCAGAGAACTTACTCTTTATTACATTGCTGTAGAATCCCTCAGAAGCATAGATGTAGACTTTTGTAAATTTCTTAAAACAGTGTTGAGAAAAATTATTTTTATGAAATGCCATCTTTATATTCTGTGCTGATGAATAACTGTCTCATGGTGTGACTTTTCTTAGAAGAACATGAACAACTCCTTTATGACATGCTAAGGATCTAGACACAGGGACATGGATTTTGTATGTAAATTGCAAGTTGTCTTTAAAGTGAAAAATTCACTATTCCTATGTCAAAAACTCTGGTTGGTTTGACAGAGGCAAAATATTGGTCTCTTCTATTTTTAGTTATTTTTTAATTGCCATTAGTTTCATAATGTTTTCAATGCATTGTGCATAATGGCTGTGTGCACAGTACACATAAATCATTCAGTAAAACATAAAACTAGTAAGAATTAACACTTAGGTTTTCTTTTTATTCATACACATCATTCATTTATTTAGTGGACATTGAGCCTTTGCTCTGTTTCAGACACTTGTTCTAGATTATAGTGGTTCAAAGGTGAGAAAAATACAGTTTATGTCTCAAGGAGCTCACAGTTTACTAAAGGAGAAGACAAGCAAAAAGTCAACTAATATGTACATCTTAATAAAATCTCATAGTAAATGTGTATATCTCATATTCTTTGAAATGAATACTATGGGGTGAACTGAAATTTAATAGCTATTCGAAGTTGGAAAGTGCCCCTCCCGCCCAAGGAAGAGGGATGAACATACACACAAAATGTGCATAGAAATAAGAGGGGGTTGTTTTGAGGGAACATGTGATAGATAAGTTTAGAACTTTATGTATGAGCAGGAAATAACCAGAGTTGAGAACTTGTTGTAGAAGTGGAGTAATATTAGGTGAGGGCTAGCTCTTCAAAGGCCTTGTAAAACACTGTAAGGAATCTGGACTTCATCCTTCGTGTTCTGGGAAAACAACTGAAGGATTTTAAACAGGGCAGAGATTTGGGTTTAAGTGATGTATATTTTTAATAACCCACATGGAGCATGTATTTTAGGGGATAGTAGAAGTAGCAAGTCTCAAGAGTGCAAGATTAGTCATAAGACTTCTATAAGAATCCAGAGAAGAGCTGCCAGGTCTAGAACACTGACCTCCAGATCTTGATTCAATAGACTTTGAAAAGTGTCTCTTTTTATTCACAGACCCTAACATACATCAAATAGAGATGAATATCAGGAAAACTGTAGACTTCATTACCCTAACATATATACTTGCATAATATACTTAGAGCTAATGACTGCACCTATAAATTTATGACAAATGATGATATAGTCATACTATAGCTTCTAAATGATGTTTTGGAATAGGTAATGACATGGGAAAATGACCTATGAAAATCATGTTATAAAGAATCATGTAAAGTATGATTTCATTTTTCATTTGTACTCATTTGTAAGGAGAAGCTGTTTTGACGTGTATACAACTGATGTAAGTGATTACCTACAGAGGGTAGATGAGCTGGGCTTGTGGACAAAAATATTATATGTAGTGTTTGCAACTGTTTTAATAATTCATTTTGATAGTGCAAATATACTTAGTAATAAATCATATTTTCTTCTTTGAAGGGGAAAAACAAGGAAAAGACTAAATGCATATAAACTATAATATAGCTAGTTATATTAGCTGTATTAAAGCTGATATTTGAATTGATTTTTAGTTTCTTCTTTGTGTTTTTACTACTTCCCAAATTTGAAGTCATTCATATTGCCTTAACACAAAGAGAAAGTAACGTAAATTATGAAGCTTAAACTATAACTTTCATGTGAAAGGATAAATGTATTAAACTGTCCAGATCATAGCAGTCACTCATTTAATATCCCAACAGTTGTGCTGAATTACCAGCAAAGGGCACTGTTGATAATCATTTTATCCCAAAAATTCTGTCCTGATTAGTGGTTTTAAAGCTACCCCAGGAAAAATGGCACTGATTTACCTTAAGAAAAGAGAAGGAAAGTGGTCACAAATCAGAGAAACCAAAGTCAGAATTGTCATTAGCTTTGCTTACCCAAGGGCCCCTAACGCTCCATTTATCCAGTCCCTCTGGGTTAAGGAAATACAGGCCATTATCATCACAGCTACGTAATTTTGAAATCTTTCAGCTTCATTCCCCAAGTCTGATTCTAGTTTCTCTGAACAAGCAACTTTCTGATTCTGATTTAATTTTCTGTGTGAAATTATCTCTAGGTAATCAATGAGACTGTGACCCTACAATATTTGGGCAATGAATATTAAGACCTAAAAAAGTCTAATTTTTCTAGTGTTTTTCAGTCTCTTAGAAGTAATAAAATGAGTAAATTAAAACTTCAGACCAGGTTTGGAAGGAGCTGAATTCATCCAGATAATATTCCCAGGATTCCCACTGATCACCTGGCACCTGGTGACACCCACCACAACTGTGTCCGCTGCAGCCTAAAATGTGAACCCTCACTTTAAAAATTCTGTAGCGTTGATTTACCAGTGATTTTTAAGCATTTTAAAATATAGTCTTGTAGGTGTTAACTCAGTGCTGGAAATGCCCAACAGACTGATGATAACCACAGTGTTATTAATCATTAAAATCACAAAACTTGAGTTTTGCTCAAAAATCTTCTACCTAGGCTCTCCATGGTGGCACAAGGGGTTTAGTCTCAGCACTATCAGGCTATCTCTAGCCCCTGTAGCACAAGTTCAATCCCCAGCCTGGAGGGTGATCCACATGGCACAGCAGACTGCTCCTGTCTCCCCATGTGCTCCCCTCATCAGTGTATTTCAGTAGATCTACCTGTTCTGCTTCCCATTCTGTTTCTGGTGAATCCTCCACCTCTGGCCTACACCCCAGTTCTTGTATGCATGAGTAAAAAAATAAATTAAAAAAGTTCTCTATATAATATTTGCAAACTGCTTTGGCATAAACATATAGCAATACTGCCATTTGCTAAAAGTAAATTCAAATTCACAAAATAATAATAGGTCGTGTGCATACATTTAGCTGCAAGTTGAATATGCATAAAGAAATAAGCACCAAGCACACAAGTTATGAGGAATTTTACCTATCTGTAATTTTGAATCTTTTTTATTCCCTTCTTTATGCACCCCCCACCCCCACCCCCCAGAAAGCTTGGATCTTACAGAGTTTGTTGAAAGCACTGAGTTTAAAGAAGGAAAAAAGTAGTCAATAAGGCAAACATTCAACAAACCAGCCTTCTGGGTTCTGTTATTCTGTTGAATGGCTTATCTTTTTGTTTTTTTCCCACAGGTTATATTTAAAGGGTCACACTGGGACAGCAGGAAAACAGAGCAGCCTGATCTTACATGGCGCTGATTTCAGCACTAAAGATGCAGATAATGACAACTGTATGTGCAAATGTGCCCTCATGCTAACAGGAGGTAAGTCCCACAGGGCCATTTTCTAAGTTCTGTTTCATTGGTTTGAGGCTTGAGGTTTCTTATCTAAGAGAGGGGACTATGATCTTTGGTCAGGAAACTTCAGAGCAAGTCCTTAGGGATCATTTTCTTCTGCCCACTGTTTCACCGTATGTGTTGTGTAAAACATTGCTAGCATATTTAGAAGTTTTCCTCCTTCCCCAGCATCTGTAGTGGGGATATGCTAAACTTGGCTCTGAATAAATTCTTTAGCCGCTGTAAGTTTCAGTTATAAGTGATTACAACTGTACCTGTACTGGAATGAACAATGGTTTGGGAATTCGACATGTAGAAAAAAATAAGAGCTTCTTACAGGTTGCTTTGAAACTGCGTAATAAGGTTTTTTGACCATTCTATTGAAATGGAATATAAAGACTAAAGAGGTACAGTTACTGAAGTCATGTAATACAGACCTATTACACTAGTACTTACATACTATTGTGTTGACCTTTGCAAAATATGTGAGCAGGTATAGAAGAGTCCATTGACTAATATTGCATCACTGAGTGAGAAATGTAGTCTTTTCAGTATTGTATCTGTCTTCTGTCTCGGAGAAATTCTCAACTTGTTGCTAGTCTATCTGTAATATTTCTTCAGCCCTCACTAAATAATCATCTTTCTTAGCAAAGAAAGAGCAAACACAAGGCCTCAGGTGCAGGACATGGGTTTGACAATACCATCTACCTAGAATAAAATAAATGGGTTTTGTTTAAATTTTGTTGAAAGTGATACTGTTCTCCTTTCTAAATAAATGTTATAAAACTTATATTTAAATTGTACTCATAATGTTTGCTAGTTAACCAATCATTGATTTAAAGAAAATAGATAATACTATATAATGAAATTTATCATGGATATGGCAAAATATGTGAGGTTTCACATGGCTGACTGGAGTTTGGGAACAGAGGCTAAGCCCTAACGAGAAGTGATGTTGCACAGGCATGACACATACTGACAGGGAAGGAGATGACTCCAAACAAAACAGAGAAAGAAACTTTCTTCCAGTGTAGCTTTCTCTCAATTTTAATGCTGTTTTCTCTTTCTTATGGAATAGCAATTACTCATGCTTTCTGACTCTCTGTGCTACTCTATAATAAAACATGTTTTTATGTTAGTAAGGACAAACCCTTTAAATCTAATATTGTGTTTTCTAAAACATGATTCTACTACCAATATTATTACATAGTGTTGTATATTATCACATATATTAAATTCCACTTGAATTCCAAACCCACTCTGTGAGCTAAGCTGGAAGAAAAACTTTAATCTCTGCTTTGTATATAAGGAAAAGAAACATAAGTTATTGTTCATTTTATCCTTAATATGCAGTACAATAGGTTGTGGCACGTAGGAATGCCGTAAAAATCATGGTTCTTGAATGAATGGGCAACTAGCTTGTAACCCTTGAAATAGTTTTCAAGTTTTGAAACCAGTGAAATGAATCAATAGGTTGACATTTTCCTTATCAAAAACAGGGCATAGAAGAAAAAGAAGGGAATGTTTTGGAGCAGTCTTTCTACCTTTATCCCCATTCCCAAAGCTTCCACTACTACCACCATCAAATCATATAACGTTGACGCCATCCATGCCATTTATATTCATGCTTTCTGACCTCAATATTATCAAAGCCATTATGACATCACATACAATTTCATCAAATAGTTAAAAGTCCATTCTATGTATTTTTTGGTCACCTTCTCCAGCATAATTGTTATAAATTTAGAATAGGACAGGTTAGGTTTTGAACTTTTTCATTGAAAAAAAATTATTTTCATTAACTGTTTTTGATCCCATAAATAATATTGTCAGCAACTTTATACAGAGACAAAGACGTTTGTTATCCAGTTTCCTTTCCATTTTAATATTGAAATACACTTCATTCTCTTCATGTCTAGTTTTCAAATAACTTTTCTTACCAAATAAATGCAGCACATGAAAGGCCAACAGTAAAATCTTTCAAATGTTTCCTTCGAAAGCGTTCCAATATGTTCATGTTCCTGTCATAATAATGGAAACACAGGGCAAAACAAAGAGGAGAGTGAACCTCTTGGTTGTCAATGAGAAAATTTCACTGCTCAGATTTATGATTTTATTTCTGCCTCAAATGATTGAACTTTGTCATGTTCTTTCATCCATAATCATTCTTGGACCTATTTCTTACTCACCAATAAACACATATGTTGAAGATAAAAAATTTCCACTTATTGCTAGAGCTGAAGCAGTCTTAAGTAAATGTGTTTTTGTAATAAACGCCATTACCCTATCAAATATCCTTTTGAAAGAATCCAGGTCTTGCAAAGCTATTCATTCTGCAAAGCTAAAGTGTGGAATTTAGATGATGAAGAACTGGAGAACATAGGGTAAATGTCAGTGACAGTCCAGGTAACTTGAGTATTGCCTGGCACTTATGTACTGCCAAGCTACTCTCCACCTCTTCTGTTTATTCTCTGTCATAGTTTCCCTTATAATTATTTTGCTAATGATTTTTCCTTTCTTTTTAAAATCTGTATTTGAACTCGTTACCAGTTTAAAATAGTCATCTGTAAGCAGAGAGAGTACATGTTCTTTGAAATCAATAATTCATGGTTCTGTTATCACCAACTAATTCTTGGTTTTACCTTGCTTACTTACATATTTTTCCATTGTTACTTCTAAGAGGAATTAGGGTAAAGTAAAATTTATTGCCCATAAAGTGTTCTAAATAGTTCTCTACAAGTACAACATGATATTTTAGTTGGAGTTTGTGGTATCATTGATGTCCTTACACACTTACCTGTCAAAGGAGATGGGCTTAGGTGAATGGAAATGTATTTCAGCTAGACATAAGGTAGAAAATTTGGATCTCTCCCTCTTCTTTTCTGATATTCTAAGTACTTAATTTCCTTGTATCTATTTTTAATAAGTCACCATTATTAGTGGTCTAGACAGTATAGTGCTGGCATCTATTGGTGGATACTATCAATAACAAAAAATAATACTTTCAAATCATAACAATTTCTAGTCACAAAATATAACATGCAGTAGCATTTCAGAGGAAGGAAGAGATATTGGCCAAGGCTGAAATGAATTGCCGAGGAGGAATGTGCATTTCTAGGTAAGGAAATCTTCAAAAAGAATAGAAAACTATCCACAGAATTTTCATTATGCACCTTCCTGCAACTTTGTGTCTAAAAAATGTTGTTGCCCACATTTTATTCCAGTTTTGTGACTCTTTTATTTCATATAGTCGTTGCTGCAGTCAGGGAAAACAGGGAGAAGGAATGATTCATAATACAATGTTAAGTGGAAAGGAGGTGTAGTAGGCTAAGAATGCATGTTTGCCTTAGAAATAGAAGAAACCACATGATTTATACCTCCTCTCCCATTTATTTCCATCTTACCAGAAAACCAGCAATTCTTCCATTCAGCTTAAATAGTGAATAAACTTTATGTTTAATCATACATTTCTTTTTTCTGGGTTTTATTTTTTAATATTGTATTTTTTAAATTGTGGGAACATTAGGATTCTCCTTACCAAGTATCACCACCATGGGGGACCTACCATCAAATTACCCATAACCCACTGCTGTAGTTGTGCTTTCTTCCCTCTTTGCTCCTCCTCCTCCTCCCCTTCCCACTTTGGATGCTTCACTTCTGTCTTGCACATCTTTTGTGAGACCAAAATATATATTTCAACATAAATGGATACACACATTCCCCTTAATAAATCATTAAGTAGAGGTGATTTGTCAGCATGTCAGCATGGATTTATAACCTAATAGTTATCTGTGCTCTGTGAGTTTGCTGACCTTAGGAAAATTTATAATTTTTTCCTTTAGGTATTCCCCTTTATCACAGAATATTATACCAAATCTATATATTTCATCATAGGAGGGATAAATTTAAGAGATTATTGTAGGAAATCATTTTTATACATAAGGTAGCACCAACCATGCATTCCTGAGCCCAAGAAAGGAATCAGTTTCACTATAAAAAAAATAGGTTATCTAGTATTTAAGAAAATGAAAATGTAATCTCATTCAATGCATACTTTGTTTATATGAATTATTTTATATAAAAATAAATTTTAAAAAACTGACTACAAAAATATGAAAATAAAAACCTTTGTCAATAGATTTTCACCTTCAGAGCAAACTTAAATTCAAAGGAGACTTGGTGTTTGGGACTAAATTAGCATTCTTCAAAATAAGTATTTCTAAAAGTCTAGTAAAAACTACCATGACTATAATTTGGTGACAAAAGAACACCCACCATGTATTCTACATTTTTTTCTTACCTTACTTTTCTTTCAACACAATTTCTACATTTAATATGTAATATTAATGCTATGTAAAAACATGACCTAACCCTTTACAGAAAGAGTCTATTCTGGTAGAAACTCTGATTTCTTTTCCCACACATAAACTATGTCTGCCGACAGATATGACTTTGCTAAAGCTAACAAAGGATATTTCTCAGTTCAGTTCTAAAAGCAGGCATAAAGCCACACACATAAATTTCTTGGTACACCCTGGACCTTACCATATGCTAAGTCAAAATTGATAAATCCTTGCCTGATGTATAATCTTGAAGAGGACCAATAAAATGGCAAAATTTAGTAAATCTCTAACTGACAGAAGTGAAAGATCTTTGGTCGAATATAATCATCTTGGAGCTTTTAATAATCCAGGAAGGATGTGCTGAGTGTTGTCAGAAAACTGGCATACCCTAAGTTACAGCAAAATTGTTGAGAGAAAAGATTCATAAAGATAATTTAAGGGTGACCACAGAAATCTATATTGCATTACTTTATTTCACAGCAAGTTTATATTTAGTACATAATCTGTAAACCTACTCATCAAAAATGTTCGTTCCTTGAAGGCAGGGATACCATGTGTCCCACCACTGCATCCTCAGTGCTTATGGCATACCATGTGGAATATGCTCAGTTAATACTGGTAAAACAAATTAGAGATTTTGAAAAG